TCCTCACAGGTATGCTTTGAGGCTTTCAGATGAAGCCAACACATGAATTTTTCTAGCTAGTACCACCTGGAGCAAGGGGCCGGCTTCTTAGCCAAATATTGTTTCTCTGGAAACAAGTCAGGTGGCTGGGGACCCTCTGACCTTGATGGGACCATAGGCAGTCATCATGATGAAAAGTGAAAACCTGTCTATAACTATCCAGTGATTAAGAATCAGGGTAGAAAGCTGGGTGTGGTGGCGCACACCTTTAATCTCAGCACTCATGAGGCAGGGACAGGAAGGTCTCTGAGTTGGGGGCCAGCCTGGTCTGCAGATCGAGTTCTGGGATAGCCAGGGCTACACAGAGAGACCCTGTCTTGAAAAACAACAGGGTAGAAGTGCACTATAGTCCTGTGTCCCATCTACAGCTGGTTCTCGTGCATAGCAACCAGATCCAAAACAGGCTGTGTCTCCACAAATGAGCCCATTTCTGGCCACCCTAGTTAGAAGCTCTTGGAGAATTACACGGAATAGAAATTTCTAGCAAAGACCATGAACCAGGAGGACCCAAGGGCACTGAAGCTGCTGGGTCTGTAGTGCCCAAACAGTTGCATGCCCAAGAATCAGGGGCGAATGTGTCAAATGAAGAACCCATCAGCCTACCCACAGGCTGTGCAGCCAGCAGTTTTCTGCCTTAGATACACACTGGAATCCTGGCAGCTTGAAAAATGCTAGGGCTTGGGTCAAACTTCCAGAGAACTTATGATTTGGTTTGACTGCATATTAGTCATTTTTACTATAGCTGTGAGTGATAGTTTGAATGAGAAATGTCCCTCATAGGCTCATGTATTTGAACACTTGGCCCCTGGTGATGGCTCTCTTTAGGGGAGATCATGGCTCTAGTCGAAATGGTTTTCACTTATTTGATTGGTTTGAGGACAGTCTATGTGGAAAAGGAAGACGAGCTGGCTGATCACCCACGCGGTTCACTTTTCACGGGAACTGATTTTGTCATTTTTGTTTTCATTTTTAAGTTAACAAAAAGGAAAACAAGCAAGAAAGGAACTATTCTTACAGGATGGACATACTCAGTATGCTTTATATTAATAATGTCATCACGTCATTTAACTGTTACTCACCTTTACAGTCCAGACCGCCATGCCCAACTAAGAGGACTGCACATCACTGGGAGAGGCATTCACACAGCACATATCATGCCTTAGAGGAGCCTGACCGTGCTGCAGCCTGGCCAGTGTTAGCTGAATCAGTTCCCAGGGTCCCCCCACTTTACATGTGGTCTCGATGCACGGATCAACAACAGTTATGATGGGCCACAAGGCTCTTTTAACCGGTTTGTGTCCTGTTTAATCTATTAGTCCAGATATCCATCCCCACCCTCACCCCAGATGGTAAAAGTCCTTCGAGAAGGTGTGGAAGGAACCACATTGCTCTACGCTGTACTTGGTAACTTAGGAATCGGCTCTTGTAAGGCCGCCCTCTGCTATGTGAGCAAAGTGCAGGGGTCCTGGGCAGGGGTCACATCTAACATCCATCACCCATACCTGGGCCTCTCTATAAAAGATTACATCCAAGGCATATGAAATATCAGAACAGGTGTTGTAATTTAAGAAAAGCAGCACTCAAGAGAAAGATACCATGAGACAGGATTCCAGGATTCAAGCAGAGGTTTGTTTTTTGTTTTTTTTTTAAATTAGGGAAAGGTATCATTAAAAAGGGGAGAGGGGGAGACTGGCTTCCAGAGACAGGAGCTGCAGGAGAGAGGAAAGGGGAGAGAGGGGGAGAGCAAGAGTAGACCAGAGAGAGGGAGAGAACGAAAGAGAGAGGGAGGTGGACAGGGCCCTTTTAAAAGGGAACATAGGGAATAGGGGCAGGTGACTTCAGCTGAGGGCGTATCCTGTCAGAACCCCAAGGACAGGTCACTACAGATGCCTGAATACTAACAGCAGGTGTATCCATGGAGACAGGAAGCAGTGTCAGCCTTTTGGTGACGATGAGGATCTTTTGGAAGCACGTAACTGTTGTGATGTTTTCTCCATGTCTTGAATATACTATAAAGTGCTGAGTGGTACTCTCTCTCTCTTTATATTTTAAAGATTTATTTTTATTTTTTAAAAAAATAATGTGCATCTCTGTGTGTGTGTGTGTGTGTGTGTGTGTGTGTGTGTGTGTGTGTGTGTGTGTGTGCAGGTGGCCAGAGGTGCTGGGCCCTTGGAGCTGGGGTTACAGGCAGTTGTAACCTGATCAACATAAGTTCTAGGAGACAGACTTGGATCTTGTGCAAAAACAGTGCACACTCTTAAATGCTAAGCTTTCTCTCCAGCCTGAGTTTTAGGGGAGTGTTCAGGCCTGTGGATTGTATCCCAGCCATTCACGAGATAAAACATCGAGACAGCCATTCTTCACTGAGCTCATAACGTCTCTGAAACTAGTTTTTGAAGACAGAATACACAGTTTCCCTCTCTGCTACATCAGAGCTGGAGCCCAGTTGTACAGTGGGTCCCGTGACAAGTTATCTGTAACAACCATTTGAACCTGTTGAAATTTAATGCCTATGGTGAAATAAGAGGTAGAGAATTCTGCTGGGCTATGGTGGCACACACCTTTAATCCCAGCACTCGGGAGGCAGAAACAGGCAGATCCCTTAAATTTTAGGCCTGCTCTACAGTCTACAGAGTAAGTTTCAGGACAGCCAGTGCTAGGTACACAGAGTAATGCTGTCTTAAAAAACCAAAAGCCAAAAACCAAAAACCAAACAACAACAACAAAAAGAAGGAGGTAGATAATTATGTTTGTAGGTGAGTCCTTCCCAGAGTGACTAGTATTAAAGCCTTCATTATTGAATCCTGGCAGCTGGCTCAGCAGAGGGAGAGACTGACTGGAGTGACATGCATCTGCTGTGTTGTCCTGTTCCACTCCAGACATGGAGGATCTCACCTGATTTGAGCCTTTAACCTCGGCCGTCCAGACTCATGGGATAAAAATCAACCTTTTCTTTTTTTAACTCTCCTATTCTGTAGTATTGTGTTATTAGCGGCAGGAAGTGGGCCGATGACACCTATAACAGATAATTCAAGTTTGAGCATCTGACTAGAGAAATTCTAGGAGATTCTTAGATCTCCTTCACACACTGGGAACCTGAGTCCAAAGTCCTGCAGACCAAAGGCCTTGGGACTAGTCGGCACATCAGGGCAGGACATGCATGCCCATCTCACCATCCCACAGAGATAGACTTGGGGGGGGGGTGTCTGTCTTTCTCTTTCTTTTAAGACAGGGTCTCACTGTATGTTTCTGACTGGCCTGAGACTCACTAAGTGGACCAGGCTGGCCTTGAACTCAAACACAGAGACTTTCCTGTTCTGCCTTCCGAGTGCTGATATTAAAGGTGTGCCCCTCCTGTTTTTCTTCATTGGCACAACTGCCTGTAAGTTGCCCATGCTCCTATAAATAACCCTAATTAAATTCATTGTTTCACCATGCCACACTTGAATGGAATTATTTCTTTGGTCTGTTGTTGATGCCCTATCTGGAGTGAATAAACATTTATTTGTCTCCCCAGGAAATGTTCACACAAAACTTGGTACCAGTGCTGGTTGATTTTGGGTGGGTGGGTGGGGTCAGGTTGAGACAAGCTGGAGTTATCTGTGATCTTCATTGAGAAACGCTTCTGTCAGAGATTGCCTACTGACAAGTCTATAGGGCAGTTCTTGACTAATGATTGGTGTAAGAGGTCCTGGGTGGTATAAGAAAGCAGGCTGAGGAAGACAGGAAGCAACGGCTCCTCCACAGCCTCTGCGTTGGTTTCCACTTCCAGGTTCCTGCCCCACCGTCCTTTCATGATGGACAACAATTGTAAACAGAAACAAGCCCTTTCCTCCCCAAGCTGCTTTTGGTCATGGTAGTAACCTAAATAGGACAATCTCCAAACATGGGGTCCAACAGAACCAAAGATGAATTTGGCAAGATTTGTGTTGAGCCAGAATTTCTAAGGGGAGAAAAGAAAGGACAGAAAACCAAATTCAGTGCTTGTGAGACTCTGGATGCCTTTAAATACCGAGAAAAGTGGCTCAGGACAAAAAATACAAGCTTGGCCCCCACCCGCTGCCACATGGCATCAGGCAGGGCCAAAGACACTGAGACATCCCCCACCGCATCCCCACCCCTGCTGCCAGGCATCTTAGGAGGGGTTTAAGACTCTGGAGAGCCCCACCCCCACCCCAAGGTAGGCCAGGCACCATTGGGACGACCAAGTATTCGGCGGAGACATGGGAGAGAAGGAGAAGCAGAATGGCTTGTGCACCAGGCAGAACTGGACAACGGGGTGGTGAAGAACAGCCTGACCAGTAGTAGCCTGTACTGCCCCCTGAGGCCATAATGACATCCTGGGAAAGTTGACCCCGCCCCCTGCCTGGGCAGCAAGAGTAAGTAAGGATGCTGGAGAAGTTAAAAAGAGTCTTTCTCACCAGTTCAAGGCCAACTTAGACTACACTGTAATGTATCTCAGAAAACAAAAATAGCTTTTTTTCAAAAAAATGAAGACAAGATTATGTAAGAGAGTAAGTTGGGTGTGGTGGTGACCGTAGTACAAGCATGGGCAACTTTCCTAACAGGGACGTGCCCAGTGATGGATGGCCTGGGGCTCGTTCTTGCTCTGATGCTTGGCTTACCATGATCGTTAATTAACTCCTGTCAACTAGTTGTTCAGACAACACTTAATGTTAGAGGTTTGTGGCAAACACATTCCTGCCAGAGCCCTAACTGTGTGTGGCAGGAAGCCAACATATGGCTTGACTCTCACGAGTGGCAGGCAGGCAGTCACAGAGGACTAGTGTCACCAGATATCAGAGAGGCTTAAGCATCCCCCTACCCCAGGGGCTCATGTTGGCTGAGACGGGAAAGGAAAACTGTATTCAGGTCATCCCCTAGAAGAGTGACAGCTCCATCAAATACGTCAAATACAAGACAAGACTGAAGGACAGGCAGTACCAGTAAAAATACGGCACTCATTTCTGATGGCTGTGCTATATTTTAAGGCAAGTGTCACACATACACAAAACATCAAGAGATGAACATGTTAGAAAGATAGCAAGGAGACATTTCAGACAGTTGTAGTGGAATCCTTTCTCATTACACAATTCCTTCAACTCCTCCGGGAGCCAAACTCAGGGAGGCACTGCCTCCTCTTGTGGCCTTCAAGAGGAAGGTGCATGTCCGTCACAAAGAAACCCCTTCCTCCAGACCACAGTAGCATTCTTCACCGTAAGTCAGGTTGGAACCCCAGTGTCCAGCCAGTTCACTGTCCAGCCCCAATCACCACTTAATAAGATTCTTTAGAAACAGGAACATTGGGATATCAAAGTCATAATATGTAGTTTAGTTTCCCCTTACCCAAACTCAAACTTGCTTGGAGTTAAAAAACCACACAACACACATACACACACCCTGTACATAAAATATATGTAAATACTCGAGGAAAAGATTCACTGAAACTTAAAAAATACCAAATGCTCATTCGTAATCAACCAGTGGGATTGATGTCCCATTAAAAACAGTGTTGGCAACAAGGTCTGGCCACTCTCTACTCGGTACATGGTTGCCCTTGGCCCTGTAACAGAGTGGAGTGGTTTAAAGAGCTGGGCCTTCACACTTTGGGCTCTGTTCCTCATGGATCTTCCCTAGCCCCTCAGCACAGGCCTCATTTTAACATGGCCTCTGTCCCAAGTGTGCCGGACCCAGTGACATAAACAACACCAGGAAAGCAAGCGGACAGGTAGGGCCAGAGACTCAGGGGCTTAGTCGCCTATTATAGGTGGGTCGCACACCAGGGAAGAGACTGCATGGAATGTCATTCTGACTCTTCAGAATACAAGCTCTGTCCTGTTCGGGGCAGCTGCTCATACCAGCAGGCAGCCTCCACGGAGAAAGCTGTCTCCTGCATAAACTGGACGCTTACAGATGTTCGAACTTGGCTTCCAAGAAGCAAAATGGTAATTTTCCACAGATTTACAGTTTGCCCCACCAGATTGCAACGAAGCAGGTAAGAGGCAGGTAACATCAGACCTAGGACTTACCCACAGGTCACACACTGTGAAACCCGGCCTGCACAGAGCTCCCTGCACCCGGTTAGTGCACAGGTTTATTGGGGGAGTATATGATTTTGCTGCTCTGCAGCGCGTTAGGGAGGACCTAATTAAGCTTTAGTAACACACTGAGCAGACAATATGGGTCAGCAATGCAGGGACCACATTGCCCCTCTCAGAGAAAGAGGGCCTATGCCTACGGCCTGTGCCAAATCAGAATGGAAATAGACAGGAAGTGCTGGCTGAGGCCCCAGCCTCAGAAGGAGGCAGAGAAGTGCCTTGGGTCTTTAATGAGAACAATCCCATCTTGTCCTAATTAGGGTGCTCCCTCGTCCGTCATTCCCCTGACCTCAGAGTTGAAAGGGCATACTCAAGCTGTGCTCACCACCACTTGGAGTAAATCCTACAGTCCCTTGGAAGCCACCCAGACAGGTGGAGTACAGTTGTTTAACTTGAGTGCTGGCTTATCAGATTCCAGCCCAGTCTAAGAATCTGGGAACTTCTTCAATGTCTACTGTTGGTGAGACAGTGTGAATAACAATTATAAACCGCTCCAGTTGACCCAGAAAGCACCAGACGCAGAGTTAGTTGGGGACAATGGAGAATACGCCTGCATTCCCCTGACCTTTACCCCCAGGCCTCCAAGAACCTGGAGCCCTCCCACCAGGCCTGGCAGCTCAAGGGGGTTTCCAAATAGAGTAAGGATGTATCTATAGCTCCGTTGAGACATGGATGAAGACAAACGTCAGAGTGTTCTAGTCCTCAGTCATCAGTCCTGGCCCGGGAGCCCAATGGCTGTGCTCAGGGATCACCTCAAATCGGTGACTGGGCCAAAGCTTTGCTTGGGAGAAGTCTGTGAGGGCCATGCCCATGTCTAAATGATACGGCAGGCTACCGGCGTGGGTTGCTGGTAACTAGCAGGCTGGCCCAAGACCCAGCCCCATCACAGCACCGACTCCTTGGATTCTAGTTCTGGGGCAATGGCCGCAGAGCCTGCCGGATTCTGGTGTGTCACCAGAGGCGATGTCTCCTCCTCACACTTGCAATTGGGGATGACTTCCACCTTCACCTCTTGCAGCTCCTGCTCGCCTTTCTTCATCACCTTCTGATTCAGATGGTTGAGGATTCCGGCTCCCAGGGCATCCCCTTCGACATTCACCACAGTGGTAGTCCGGTCCCTGGTGGAAACAGGAAAGAAAAAGAACCGGTGTAATACCCAGAGTCATCAATGGGGGGCCCTATCGCAGGCAGGCTGGCAGCCACAGGGAGTCTTGTAGGGAGCGAATGAAGTCCTGAGCGGATGTGTATTGTCTGAACGGGCACAGCTGTGTCAAGGACTCCAATGGCTCAGACCATAGGAGTGGAAAAGCCTTCTCCATGTGAGGCCTCAGTAAGGATGGCAAAGCCTTCTCCTGGTTCATGTGAGGATGTTGACAGTATGTACAGAAAATACACACTGTAGCATACCACACACACACACACACACACAGAAAACACACTGTAGTGCAACACACACACACATACACATAACACACTTATGGCCTGGAGTCTGTTCTCTTGGAGACTACTGAGATTAGCTAAACTTGTCTCCTATTCAGCTGTGTACCATGAACTTGCCTCCCTGATCAACGGACTCTGGCTGACACGCTGAACTTCCTGGGTGCTGTGGCTTCTCCACCCAAGAGCATTGCTGTGCCTGTCTGCCTGTCCTTTCTTCATTTCCTCAGGACTCTCATCAGGCTACTCCCCGGAGCCCTGCTGGAAGTGGCTGTGCTCCTGGAGGGCACACCCCTAACAGATCTGCTCTAAATTGCTCCTCTTTGAGCAGCATTTACTCCTGGGAAAGTAACAGACTCTCGCTGTAGAAAATATTGGAAAAGAGAAGTTGAAGGCAGCAGACAAGCCACTTGTGCATATCCCACAGCTCTGGGAGTTGATCTGAGCAATGCAGTCTAGTTCCTTCCAGCCATGTTCCCGCACAGTTCTGTTACATGTCACAGGCCCCACTACAGAGAATACTGCATGCAACCGGGAGAAGAGAGTAGACATGGTTCTGAGTTAATTTTTCTTCCCATCGGTGTTACAGTACACTAGAACTTCAATCCTTGATGCCAACAGCATGTGTATTCCACGGTTGTGGGCAAGCATGTCATAGAAAATAACACCAGCTTTCCCGCGGCCTACTTAGCACAGGTTAGCTCAACATCTACTCCAGTCATTAGAGCTCAGAGAAGGTCCTATAGCAGGCCATTCTGAAGACAGGACAATATGATCTTCCCCAAAGCACTGGAGGACTGAAGTCGCAACCGCGCCTGGCTTGGGCACTCAGAGGCCTCTGCTGGGCATCCAGCAGGGTGCTATTTCCCTCCCCAGGTGAGCAGCTCTGACACACCTTCTCCAGACACAGGAGGCAGCTGGAAGGACAAGACAGGTGATCCCTACCATCGCTCTGTTCTTGCCCAGCCCAGGGATGGAGCTTCCTCTGATGAGATGTGTGGAGCACAGGAGCCTCTATTGGCGATTTCACCCCATCTCCACGAGAGCGCTCAGAACTCAGCACAGCTATTTTAAGTTGGAAAGCTTACCATTTCCAAGTACCACTGCAGACGGAGTGTCAGTCAGGTACCTGGAGTTAGCGTCTCTCAAACTGGCTGTGACCAGCCCAGCAGGACTGTTGTCCCATCTGCCCCATGTTCTGTGCACTGTACATATGCTCACTCATTTAGTCCTCACCCCAACCGGTGTGGCTTTAACCGTGACTACAAGAGCAGGCATGCAAAAGGGCCTGGGCGAGCTCTGCCTTTTCAGTATCATACCTTAGTCAACTTTTCTATAGAACAGTAGATTCATACCTGCCAAAGGTATCACAAGGCTCAAGCCATCAATATCCAGACACTCTTGTCTGTAAGGAACCCGAGGGTCAGCAGCCTGGTCATCTGCTTACCTAACATCTCCTGAGTTCATGCACAAGATGTTTTTGCATGCTCCCCTTGCATAGAAACCATTCCGGATATTTGCAGGCCAGGGCCAACCACTGCTCCGATCACATTACTTTACTCTGTTATCACCTGCATAGCCAATGGCACCTACTGAATACTACAAGCAAGTTCTGAATGGTCGTGTCTAATGTCATTCATGGATGTTCACAGGCTCTTAACTATTATATTGTTTACTTCCTTTTCTTTCTTACTTTTGCTTTTTTCGAGACAAGACTTCTCTGTGAAGCTTTGGAGCCTGTCCTGGAACTCACTCTGTAGTCCAAGCTGGCCTTGAACTCACAGAGATCTGCCTGCTTGTGCCTCCCAAGTGCTGGGATTAAAGGCATGTGCCACCATCTCCTGGTAACTGTTGACTTCTTATAGTTCTAAATATGGTTTTGCCTGCTTAACTATAAACTCTGTCCAAAGCAGGGATGGTTTTAAGTTTCTGCATGCTATATGCCTAGTAAAGCATCAAGTTCCCAGGGGCCTCAAGAGACTTCCTTTATTCCTGGATCTTGGTATCAGCTACTTACACAATCCAGTCCACAGCCAGGATCAGAGAGAGATAATCCGTGGACAATCCAATGGCCTCTAGGATAATGGCAATGGTGAGGACCCCTCCAGCTGGCACACCTGCTGCTCCAACACTGGATGCTGTGGCAGTCACTCTAGGGTACAGCAAAGCAAAGTCAGCCATGAATACAGAGCATGGAGGAGGTTCAGAGAATCACACAGCTTTGCAGCCAGGACTTATAAATAATAACTCTCTAGGTTAGTGGTTCTCAACCATCCTAACGCTGTGACCCTTTAATACAGTTCCTCATGTTGTTGTGATCCCCAACCATAAAATTATTTTTGTTACTACTTCATAACTGTAATTTCATTAGTATCATGAATCATAATGTAAGTATATGATAGACAGAACATTGGATAAATGACTCCTGTGAAAGGGTCATTTGTGACCCTCAGGTTGAGAACCACTGCTCTAGGTGTTTAAGCGATGATACATTTTTCAAGTACACTCAGACCTCATACCCTTTGTGTTCACAAATTAAACCAATCACAGATCCAAAACAGTAAAAACACACTGCTGCTACTCAACATCTATAAATCATTTTCTTCTTATTTTCTTAATGATGCGGTATTAACAACCACTTACATAGCACTTACATCATACTGAGTATATAAGTCATCTAGAAGTGATAAAGTATAGAGGAAAACACATACAAATTATAGATAAGACACTACTGATATGATTTGAACCTGAAATGTCCCCTACCTGCTCATGTTTTAACACTTGTTTCCCAGCTGATGGCTGTACTTTGAAGGCTGTAGAGTCTTTGGGAGGTGCGGCTTGGCTGGCCAAAGTAGTTAACTAGGAATCAGCCTTGACAGTTATACCTGCCCCCTGACCTGACATATATATATATATATATATATATATATATATATATATATATATATATATCCTTCCTGTCTGTCACCATGTAAACAAGTCCATCTCTACCACAATGGACTAAAATCTCTGTAAGCCAAGAGCCTTTTAAGATTTAAGTCTTTTAAGTCATTTCTGACAAATATTTTGTCATAGCAATGCAAAAACCAACTACTACAACTACCTCCTTGGAAAGGAGGTCCTTTGACCAACACTCCTGTGACAGATGGTTAGTTTGCTTGAATCGGGAAACACCTAGAACCTTAGTGAGGCACACTTCTGGATGTCTTTGTGGGGACATTTCTAGAAAGGGTTAACTGGGATGGGAAGACTCATCCTAAAGTTGGGGAGCACCATCCATAGGCAGGAATCCTGGACTGCATAAAAAAGGCAAAATGAGAATGCCAGCTGAATGACAGCACACATCTCTCTGTGTCCTGACCCACCCAGATGTGAACAGATAGCTTTACACTCGAACTTCCATACCTTCCTACAACAATGGACTGTATCCCCTCAAACCATAAGCCAAGATACAGCTTTCCTCCCTATGTTGCTTTCTGTCAGGCATTCTGTCCCAGTAGCAAGAAAACTAATACAGCCCCAAGATACTGAGGGATGAGGGTGATGAATTTCCACTATCTTACAAAGGAGATACTAAATAATGGTGAGATTGGTTTTTCAAAGGAAATCACAAAATAGTTTTAAGTGAGGCCTAGAGATGTAGGAAAGAATAACGCTCACAGAATGGTGAAAATCTGTCCTGCATTCAGGTCCACACTGTTGAGCTGAGCGATGAACACTGCGGCCACACACTGGAAGATGGCTGCCCCATCCATGTTCACTGTGGCCCCGATGGGGAGGATGAACCTGCTGATCCTCTTGTCTACGCCGTTGTTCTCTTCAATGCACTTCATCATAGATGGAAGTGTTGCCGAGCTAGGGATGAACAAAATAACCAGGCATGAAAAGCAGTCCTTTCCAGTCAGGACTTAGAATACATCATGAGCAGCATCCTAGCAAGTTTCTGGTCCTCTTCCCTTGAAATAAGGAGGACAGCAGACTTCTTTCAAAGTTTCCAGTGTAACACAAGGCTTTATCAAGCCCCATAGGATTCAGACATGACTTCCAGGATCCACTTATTTATGTAGATTCAGTCAAGAGCTGTATCTTGCCTCAGTACAAAATGTTCCCAGAAGAGCCACCAACCTCTCCTGGCTCTGTGCCCATATGAGTCTGAGTAGCCAAGGCAGTTCCCAAGCCCACTAACCTGGAACAGGTAGCAAAAGCCGTTGCGAATGGTGTGAGGAGGCCCAGGAGGAATTTGAATGGGTTTTTTCGTGTAAAAGCAAAATAGATGAGAGGCAGAACAATTCCTCCATGAATGACATGGCCCAGAATAGAGGCGAAGATGTATTTTCCAAGGCTGGTCACAAGCGTGATGATGTCCTTCATTTCTACAATCTTGCTTCCGATCAGGAAGGTGATGCCTATAGGAACGTACCTAGGTTATAAGCACAGACAGTCATCAGGGAAGTGTTGAGGAGGGGCTGGGAGATGCCGGGTCTCCCAAAACAGCAACTTTCAACTGGGTTATTTTCATCTCTGCATAGAGTTACTCTAAAAACAGGAACCGATTGGCTGACCTCCCCCCTTTTCTCTTTTTTAATATGTAGGTTGTATGACTGAGTGAAATGAAGACAGTCACCCAATGGGTGAGTACATTTGCACGCGTAGACTGCTTTCCTTTGATATATACATACTTTCTTTCAGTTGTCTTTTTCTCCTCTCCTCTTCTCCTTCCCCTTTCCTTCCTTTTAGACAAGGTCTCACTACATAGTCCAGGTTAGCCTGGAGCTTTCTACCTTCCTGCCTCCACTTCCTGAGGGCTGAGTTTACAGGCATGTGCCATTACATCTGGCTCTACATCTGTTCTTCACCGATGGATTGTTACCAACTACATGGCAAATTAAAGGTCTTGAGACTACAAACCTGACTTTCAGCTTTGCTCAGACCTGTTCTGGGAACTCAGAAAGACGAGAATTCCACAGAACGCTGTGATACAAAATGGAACATAGCCCAGGGCTTCTGTGAAGTTTTACATTCTTTTTGGTTTTGAAGACATGATTCCGTGGGAAAAACTCATTAACAATGATGCTCTGGGAACACTGCCAGACAGTGAGTTTGTTTTGTTTTGTGAGAAAAGGAATACATTCTAGAAACTACAAAGAACAAAAATCAGTTCTGTAAATTTAATATCAAGTCAGTAGTAATCCTACAACTGTTTTAATCTATAAATTTTAATTTATACTTAATAATGCCTCCCAGTTCAGATTTCAAGGGGCACAGATTGGTGAGCAGTGTGAAGTCTCTCATGTCAGCCCCTGAGTACCCAATGGAAGGGGCCAGTGACTGGCAGGAATGCATTTAAGTCTGAATTTATTTATGTACACTCCACATTACCAAGGTATTTTCATATCAGTATGTAGAAAGCTGCCTTTTCTTGTGATGGAATACACATACAATTTAGCATTTAAGCCATCCTTATGTGTAGAGTTGATCGTCACTAAGTATACTGGACTTGTGGGGCAACGGTCACCACCACCCAGACCAAGAGTATTTCCATCATTCGAGAGTGAAGCTCTGTTCTCATTGAATTGTGGCTCCCATGCCCTCTACCCCAACCAGCCTATGGCATACAAAAGCAGAACACACATTCTGTCTTTCTGTGACCCTGTTTCATTAGACTTTAAGATTCTTCCATGTTGTAGTGTAGAGCAGAATATCATTTTTATAGAACTCCATTTTATTTATCCACATTTGTTTAACCCCATTTTGTTTATCCACCTGCCTACTACTGATAAACATTGGGGCTGTTTCTGACCTTCATCCCTTCTTTCTTTTTCAAAGTAGCCAAGGCTGTTCTTGAACTCCTGATCCTCTTCCCTCTGCCTATCATGGGCTGGGATTACAAGCATGCAGAGCTCACAGCCTTGTTTCTAGTATTTCCTCAGGACAAAAGTTTTCTTCTTAGGTTTTCGTCTCTGGAAACACACCTGTAGGTGCACACGTGCCTGTGCTCTCTAGGTCAAGACATAAAGCAGGGGCTCTGCTGACCTGGAGGTGTGCACATTTTAAACATTAATAAATGGTGCTGAATTGTTCTCTGAAGTGTCTGTGTTGGTTCCCACTCCCACCAATAGTCTAGAGGGAAGCCATCCACCAGTGGCCAGCAAGGGAGGGTTATTTTTTCTCTTAGGGGACTTTTGGAAATGTCAGAAAGACAGTTTCATCGTCACAACTTTGAGGGTCAGCCCTAGAGGTCAAAAGTACCTATTCTCATCAATTCCTGACAAAGCCAACTTGCTATTTCTTGGTTTTGAACTGGTACCCCTAAGGGTGTGTAGTACTCATGCTAGCTTTCCCTTCTGTGAACTGCCTGCTTGCATACCTGTCCATTCTCTTCACGGTTTAAACACACTGTTTTCAGTAGTGAGGACACTTAAGTGGGATGTGGTAAAACAGGTCTGCCAGTAGTTGGGAGATTCAAGAGTTCTAGATCATCCTTGGCTGCATAGCAAGTTCAAGGCCAGCCTGGGGCTACATGAGACCCTACCTCAAAAAACAAAACAAAACAAAACAAAGAACAAACCACAGTTCTCCCCCCCAGAACAAGGACAGTCAAGTGAAATGCCATGTTTGCTGTGATAGTTGGACTATGTGATTTTTACACTGAGCAAGAGAAATGCCACTGAAATGCCACTGGACTTGTTTCAGCTTTAAATGTCTGTCAGTCTTACATTTCTCCTAAAACCAGTCCAAGTGGAATTTAAGTCATCAGAGAGAGGAAAGTTCTGGGATTATAGTGGTCGACGATAAGAAATACTGTATATGTGAAAGCATAAACTAGTTTTTTAACAACTAATGGACAGAGGCTAAAATCCAGAGATCTGCTTAGGGCTGTGCTAGCTAGTTTTTAATGTCAACTCGTCACAGTCTAGCTAAATCCTTGGGAGGAGGGAACATCAATTAATAATATGCCCTCACCTGATTGGCCTGTGGTGTAGTATATTTTCTTGATTGAAGATGGATGGGAGAGGTCCCAGCGGACTTTGGGCATGGCCACCCCAAGGCAGGTGGCCCTGGGTGATGTAAGAAAGTAGCCTAAGCAAGCTATGAGGACAAGCCAGTCAGCAGCACCTGTCCATGACCTCTGCAGTAGTTCCTGCCCTCAGGTTCCTGTTCTGCACTGCTTGAGTTCCTTCCTGGCCTTCCTGCCATGATGGGCTGGGATGTGAAATTGTAAGCTAAAACAAACCCTTCCCTCCCCATGCTATTTATGGTCATGGTGTTTGACGCAGGTGAAATGCCGGAAGAGCTTTGAAGACATGAAGTCCGGGGCTGGCCTGATTTTAAGGAAGTTGCTTTGAAGGAGATGCTCAAGTTATTATCTTTGAGCCAGGAATCAAGGTGATGATTTTTACTGAGCAATCATCCTTCCATTAATATG